ACACACACATCTTCACTCAACAAAGAAACAGGCAATGATAATTGGTCGTTTTTAAGGACAAGCGGGCAAACCCCGATTTAGGGAGTTTCCAGAAATCTTGACCTACACCTATGGTGGGCATTGCCCTGCCTATAGGAGAAGTTTGGGCCCATTGGTGTGTATAATTGTTTAGTTATAGAGAAAACTTTCCTTGTCTTTTAAAGAAACTGAACAAGGGTCCAAAAACGTTACCTTCGATTTTCTCAAAACCGCATTTTTCGGGATAGCCCCCTTGTGCTTAAAAGCGACCAATTGTGAGGCAGCACGGTGGAATCTGGCTCTCGTCAAAATAATCAAAGTGAAGAAACTTGCATTTTTCCACGCGTTTGTGAATTTTTATCAAATTTCTGTTTTTTGGGTCAACACCTTTCATGCCCATGAAAGAACTTATTTCCATTTCTGTGTGGATTTTTCTGAAAAGCGTTGATTAAAGGCATAAAAAAAAGTAAATCTTCAGTTACCACGGACTCTTAAGCTAGGGAAATAACTAATCTTTGGCGGCCATTTTCTCACTAATTTTACCTCTGAAAACATTCTTTCGCAAATATCTCGACTTGCATTCAAGATAAATGGATATTTTTTGCATCCAAATAAAGACAAGTGAAGAAGCTTTAAGATGACACCAATAACTCTACATGCCCAAAATAATTATGACGAGAGCCTGGTTCCACCACGCTGCCTCACATATGTTGCAGTAAAGACAAATCTCAGTTGCCTGGATGTTTCAGCACGCTGACTACAACAAGGCCAACAAACCAGGTCCAAATGACATCGGCCTGTTGTTCCTAGAGGACCCTCTTGACCTCACAGGTTTCTACGTCACAGAGGCCAGGCTGGCTCGTCCAGGGGAGACTTTTATTGGACAGAGATGCGTCATCGCTGGATGGGGAAGAACTAGAGGTTACACACAACTGATCATTATTATCATCATCGTCGTTGTTGTCGTTTTCGTTGTCGTCATCATCATCATCATCATCATCATCATCATCATCATCATCATCATCATCATCATCATCACCGCCTTTTTTACTCACCCGGCGTTTTTGTGCAGGCAACGAACAAGAGCTCCCCACTTACTTCCGTCTTGGGATAGCTGTATGTCAGCTCTTTTGATCCGAATCTACGTCCTTCCTCTAAGAAGTTTAAGACACTTTCTTGTGGATTTGTCTTAAGGCTGGACATGGATAATGTTTGTTTTAAGTTTTTTGTATCGGGCATGGGTTTAAAAACCATTGTAGATTGAGTTACTATATTCTACCGCTAAAAGATATGTTTAGGCGTTTCTGATGTGCATCTTACGTCAACACTGCGCACGTTAAGCTCAATTTAAAAAAAGTTATGCCTTAATGAAAATTTTATCGTACTTATATTGCGGCGAAATCGGGGCAACAGAAGTATCGTATCGTGACTTAGGATACTTTGGAAACCAAAAGTAAATCTATTTTTAATACAAAAGTACTGTAACTCCAAGTTAAGACAGTTTTGTTTGCATGGACTTGCATCTATATAGAAAGATGTATAATATACTGGTATCGTAACTCTGGGTGTAATATATTGAAATAAATATGTCCTCCTTGGCAGGAAAACTATTGTAACTTGAGATACGATACCATGCAACTCATAAAAAAGCCGTCTAAACTATCGTAACTCGACTTACGATAGTTCTGTTGCTTTAAAAAGAAACAATCAGGGCCATAATATTGCAACTAAGGTACGGTCTAAACTGAAAGAGATACAATTTCAAATCATCCGTCAACAAATCCGGCGTGCTTTACAACCCATACAATGGAAAAATCACATCCCCAAGTCATGTGTGCGAAGAGAAAATCAGTTTTTTGCTTCTCCTGAAAAGTAGGGTTTTTTAAGATACGATCGTTTTGAAACCCAGGCCCGGTATACTGTATACATGTATTTTCCTGGCTTTAATCCAGAAGACTAATAATGTTCTACTGTCGATTGATAGTACATGAGTCAGAAAACCCCCCAAAATACAACAGATCTCAAATCTACATTAATTATTTTGAAGGTTCGAACACTAGACTGCCAAAAACGCTGCAGTCGGTTGAGGTACCAGTCATCACCCTGGAGCTGTGTCGCCGGTACTGGCTGATCAACAACCGGTCCAACCTTGCCAACAGCAACCTGTGTACTCACGCCGCGGGGAATGGCACTGACGCCTTGAAGAACGTTTGCAATGTAAGAGGAGTGGAGGGAGGGGGCGAGGGAGGGAGGGATGGA